AAAGGGTCTTGGAGGAATCCACAATGACCTACAGCGGAAATAATAGGACATAATTCCAAATAATTGGGATTTTTTTCAAGCCAACATATTTCAAAAGCTTCAAAAACTTCAGTTCTTCCAAGATAGCCCCTTTTCTGTTTATGTCCTGGAGTAAAATCCAATTAAGCTGGGTAATTCTTGGCAGACGCTGGACAAGTTGAAGAAAGTTTTGTAATAATTTGGCAAAACTATTGCGCTTTGTTGTCCTCCCTTTTCATTTCTGGCCTTGGCTAATGAACCCAAGCTCAGACCCTCCTTAAAACAGATACATTTCTGCACTTTCTCCCTGTCCAAAGACAAAAGCATGACCAATCATTATCCCTATAAAAGTGCCTCTGTGGGACAATAACGGCGCAGGGGTCTACGGCAGGGCACTTTCATGCTGATTATGAGAAGTGAGCTGTAAATATTTTAAAATTCTCAGCATCCCCAGTACTTTATTCAACCTTTCAGCTTCATAAGGTCACAGCTAATTTGCAAGCCATAAAAACCCATTTGGCAGATTTAGCAGGGATGGGAGACGCACTGATGGCATCGTCTGGTTCCCGTGTTTCTTTGAAGAAGAGTTATTATTCCCATTAAGCCCAGCAGAACGACGAGGCCAGAAATTCGCCGCTGGTACGCCCCCATTGATCGCAGGCAGGAGGATGAGCTGCTAATGCATTTAGAGAAATAAGATCTGTTAACACTGCAGACGTTCGGCATTACAAGCTCAGAAAGAAATCTGCTTGGACGGAGGGCATATGTGTGGTATTTCATCCTCACAAATAGCTGATTCAATTCTGCTTGATTCTGGTTTTAAACACAATGCAGTTGAAGCATAATTCCAGCAATACCTGGCAGAAAACAGGGATATCTTCCGGAATAGTCAGTCTGATGCCGGATCAACTTTAATCTTGCATCAAAGATCCACAAAATCCCATGTTTAGTCCAAGTTATCCTCAAATTTAACCGAGTGAGTCACTTTGAAGAATGGAACAGAGATAAAATACGAGCCCAGACGTTTTGTTTTTGTCCAAAGTTCCCTCAGAGTTGCACTAGCAGGCCTGTAACCCTCACAAGTGCCACGGAAATAGGGAGACATTCAAACAACCTTATGTGGAGTCCATGGGGAGGGCAACATTTTTTTGGATACACCTTATAAATCACACTGTCTATATTTAGCTGAAACATTCATAAACAAGAAACAAAACAGACCCTAATACCCCTGAGACTGGACGCTCACTGCAAGGATCTAGAGAACACTTATGTCACATGGTACAAATGTGCCTAGAGGCTTAACTGATGGGAACTGTTGTCAAGACCCTTAAAAGATATACAAACTCTTGATAGAGGATGGTTAAGGGAACCACAGTACCGTTTAATTCAGACAATACAAACTCTTGATAGAGGATGGTTAAGGGAACCACAGTACCATTTAATTCAGACAATACTAACTCTGGATGGAGGATGATTATGAAACCATAGTGCCATTTAATTCAGACAATTAAAACTTGCTCCAAAACCAATATACTCTTGCTGATATTATGATTTACCTATGCAAAAACTAATGTCAGTGCTTAAAAGTGCAAGTTTTCCAATAAAATTGGAATTTCCTGAGGTAGCAGGTGTTTCCACTATTTGGCTGTATACAGATTACTAAGCACATCTTAGCACCACCATTGCACCACCCTGACTGCTATTTACAATAACCTTTTACAGAAATAAAAACCAATTGATTAAGATGGACATTGGATGACACAATTGTAAATTGAAATCTTCTGCTTTTCTTTATAAAGCCAAAGACTATAGAATACACAAGACTTGTCACTCATGTAGTTTTGAATGGAGAAATTGTAACATCATAATGCGAATGAAGCCCTGCCTTCTAGTACAGGAGCCAATCAGTGATCGATATAGACTGAAGATTCTCCAGGAGAGGGGCTTGGACCAGACTTGAGTTTTTGCAGATTTTAGAACAGTTAAATAAAACTGTAAAGAGAAAGTTATTGTTTAATTTTATTGGTGATTCCTAATATGAAGTTTAATAGTAAGCTTAGGAAGCAATTTTGTAGAATTTGAAGTTTCCCTTTGAAGACAAAATGCCTAAGCATACCACCCAAGAGGTGTTTAAAAGATGGCTGCCAAGTGAAATTACTTGCCTTAAAGATATTTTGATAAAGCTCAGACTCAGAGCATCACAAACAAATATTAGTATTATTACTCTTTCCAAAGTGAAAATGTAAAGTCTGCTGGAAGTGGTGTTAGTAAGACCAGCAGGGGTGATCCTAACATATATTAAATGTTACATATATTGGGGGGGGGGACTCTATACTGCTTAGTGTGTGCCATCTTTTGTATAAGATGTTAAACCAAGGTCTTGACTTTCTGGGGTCATTTAAAATGCCAGGATGTCCTTCGAAAAAGAGTTTCGAGAGCCTCCATCCTGGCCAAATTTGCCCACTAGCCTCTGTCCATCCTAGCCTCATATCCATCACATATCATAACTGGCTTCATCACTCTGTCTCCTTTCCACCAATTAGCTGGTGTGGTTTGTGGTCTGGTGCAATATGGCTGCTGTGACGTCATCCAGGTGGATGCTGCAAACTGGTGGTGGATGAGGAGATTACCCTAAAAATGTGTAAAGCACTGTGAATGTCCAGAAAAGCACTATATAAATGTAAGGAACTTTTACTTATTAAGTGATTTCAACAGCCTGCAAAATATCAAGTCTTTATTATGTATAATGTACAGGTTTTATAACATATTATTAGGAGTGTGTGTAAAATTCCTGAAAAAGTCTATAATTATTTTATTTAGTATACTATTACTAAATGACTCGTATGGTATAACAAATGTCACAATTATAAATTTAAGATATGTTACATTTTGGGTGGGAAACTTGCAAACTCCAAATGCGATTAATTAAATTAAAATTAATATCTAATCAATGCATTTGTCAAATCAATGCATTGATATAAAATCAATTGTGCATTTATGTAAAGCAATTGTTTTTAAGCTAATAGTGATATGTACAGTATTGGACAGTAGCGTTGCTACAAGTAGTGACGCTACTAGCTTAACTACATTTCTCAATAGCTAGCAGTAGCATCGCTACATTCTAAATCAAATTGCTTTTTAGTAGCAAAGCTATTATTTTAAGCAAGTAGCACAGTAGTGTCCACACAAGCTACATTTACCGATAGCGGATCAATAAGTGATGGCATCGACATTCACGGAGCTGTGAGGCTGGTGTCTAGCTGATGAAAGTTAATCCATATGATGGCGAGAATGAAGATTTCTTCTTTTTTCTGTTTTACGGTGGTTGACAACAAAATTTTTGGTGCCTTACTGCCACTCCTTGCTCTGATCGGTGACGTCGCCAACCAATTGGGCCAACATAAGAAATTTGCTTGCTGGAAAGATCACTGAGGAAGAGGAGTTATTTCTAAAGCAGAATTCCTCTTGATCATACCTCAAGAAGTACATGTTAAGATGCAATTACGTCAATTCTGATGCTGTGCTTCAAAAATGCTCAAAAAATACTTAATACGTAAAATACTTAGAACTGTAATTTATAGTAAGTACTATACTGTTTTACTATACAATAGTCAAGTAGTACTCAAATTAATTTGTTGTGGTACTTTTTTATTAAATTCATTTTATTAAATTCCTTAATTTTATTAATTCAGGATAGTTACTAATGTCGTACAATTCATTAATGAAGAGTTGTAAATATATATATATCATGCTTATTCCTAAATATTTCTCTTTACTATAAATTACTAAAGTATTTTAAATGTGTAACACCTAGTTTTATAGCATTTATTTTGTTAAATAGTTTTTGATTAACTAGGCTTTTAGTGTATTAAGCTACTTTTAAAGTAAAGAAACTAATAGCTTAGCTCACTACATTTTCCAAGTAGCTTGCCTAACACTGGATATGTGCCTCAACAAATTTGATTGTCCGTTAAACAAAGATTTCGTAAAAATAACCTGGACAGTTATAACAGAATGAGGAGCAAAACACAGTCCCGATAACACACACCAATGCAGAGTCTGAAAAGAGGGCACCATCTTGCTGCCTAGCTCGATTATGACTTTCTGGTTCCTGTAAAACCTCTGAGGTAGAGAAATAGACAGCTCTTTCCAGCAGAGCACAAGCTCATCTACATTCATGGACCCTTCATAGTCATCTGAGAACAATCTCAGATACAAAACATTTACATTTCCTTCTAATTCCAAATATTCACACACCTTGCTTGCGACATGTGCTCGTTTTAGACACTGACACTAAGAAAATACATGTGATATCTGAGATAAACAGGTAGTTTTTGCCCAGATACACTTTTAAAAACAATGTTTTATTTCAGATGGTCTTAGATTTGACTTAGATTTGAAGCTATGAAACAATTTGTAAAACTTCATCTAGTCGATTACTGTTTTCATGAGGAGCTTTATTGTTTAGTTGACTAGTCCCTACTGTCATCTGTGAGATCTGAATATTTATAAACTGCACTTTTAAACGAGAAGCACTTGTGTTCCAAAGGAAAAAGTAATCATCAAGTGGTATTTTGAGTGGTATGAGCAGTATTTTGTACTATTAAGGTGAAAGCCAAGTTTTGTAAAGTGTCTTAAATTCTACTTTTGTGCAGAAAATAACAGCATTCATATTTGAAATGACAAGCAAACAATGACATTTTCAGTTTCAGTTTAGTGAAGTTAAAGACACTGAAAGAGCTCAAACTGTCACAGCTGAGATGCTAGAAATCATAGTTTGAAGGCAAGTTTTAGGAAGAGATAGGAGTTAAACAAGGACACATGAAGGTAGGGAGTGACTGTAGGGTTTAGAAACATTCTCCAGATGCCCTTGGAGCTGTAGGGTTCAGTCAGAGGAAACAGGCTTGAGGAATAGAGAGATATAGAGATGGAGGCATGTGAGGAGAAGGAGGAGGAGGAAGGGCAGTGGGGTTGTACAGTACCTCTGTTACCGGTGACAGCAGAATTGAGCTGCTTGGAGTCTAAGGGACCTGTGGTGTCTGGGAGGGTGGGTGCAGGGGAGGTGGTGGATGGTGACGGTGTGGTGGGGGCATCTGTTGTACACAACAAACAACCATTGAAACAAAAAAAGGATGGACAAAAGACAAAACAACAGTGACAAGGGGGAAGAGAACATCACCATAACAATGGAACAAATGAAACACAATAGTTGTATGCTGACAAAAGGCAAATAAAAAATTGAATGGGTTTAATTTAACAATGCACACATGAATAAACAGTCGAAATAAACAGCACGAACAGAACATCTGACAGTATAAAAATGTATGTATTTCTTTATGATGTTTGCAGATAATGGGTTTGCTTTGTGTATAATAAATCAAACTGTTCACGACAATAGCAAAGTGACAGTTTTGCTCACAAAGTGGTGGAAAAGACAGGCTGCATGCAGGGAGAAAAGCATCAATATTTGATGAAGTATCAAAAACAGTCTGCACAGACGACATGCAGGAGAAAATGTGGAAACAATCACCATAACAAGCCGTTTGTTCCTCATAAACTATCCTTATATCAGTGCAGTTTACAGCTCAGTATTAGTGCCTGTTTAAAAATGTAAAAGTTGCAAAAATTAAGCTTACACCTTTTTCACAAAAGCCTGCATATTCTTAGGGTGTGTTCACACTTGACAGGTTTGGTTTGATCAGAAATTATAGTGTGGTTCATTTGAAAAAGTGTAGATGCTGATATATGAACCGTGATGTACACCAAACAAGTCGATCTAGACCACTGGAAACACTGGTGTAGTTCAGTTGAACTCTAAATGCACCAAAAATGGATTAAAGTGATCTATAAACTAATGAAAAACAAGATGTGGTATCACAAGATGTGTCCTGAAAAAGGACAGAAATATCATAATAGTTATCTGTGTTTCATCATCAAAACAATGAGTATATTTACATGGACACCAATAATCTAATTTTAATATGATTAAGAAAATACTCTGATTAAGGTCATAATCGAGCTAAAAAGAAATTGAATGTGGAATATGTTAATTTTAGTCTCATTATTAAGGTGCAGTACAGGCACGTAAATACCGTAATCAACCTACTACCGTCGTGTAGGATTTTCACTGCATTTTGCGTCAGGATACTCTATACACATGGCTGTTTGACACTTTTTTCCGCACCAACTGAGTGACTATAAACTGCAGACACCTGCATCGCTCGCGAAATACAGTTTTTTTTTCTCATACGATGTATGGCATCAAACTCCATCAAAACAACAGTTTGTACTCGCATCCAATATCTTGAATCCAATATCTCGAGCTGTGACACAATGACATTAATCGAATTATGTGCTTTAACATGGACATGCAAAAACAGGAACATTCAACAACCAACTCATGTAAACACCTTCATCATATTATTGTCTTATTCAGATTAAGGCAAATAATTTAATTACTGTTGTAAACGTAGTCACTGTTGCACATCACAGTTCAATACAGGTCTCTGGAATGCATCTCTCGCTTTCATTTGTGCATATGACATGAATTTCTGGCAATGTTAACCAAATTCTGTTGCAAATCAATAAAAAAAAAAAAGTGGCATCTTTAGGTTCAGGTCTTAAAAAAATACTGAATAAAGTAAACTAGGACTAAGAATGCTGTTTTATTTTTTGGGATCAGACCAAAACAACCAAGAGAACTGCATTACAAGTGTGAACACAACCTTATGCCCAGATTATGCCTGCCATTAAAATTTAAATAACATCTTGATATTTAGAATTAAACCTTGTTTTTTAATGAATCTCCAGTATACAGTTGAAGACAAAATTATTAGCCTTCATGTAAAGGTTACTTTTTCAAATATTTGCCAAGTGTTGTTTAACGGAGGGAAGACTATTTCCAACACATTTTGAAAAATATAAAATTTTTGTGAAACTAATTTGTAAAAACGAATTACTTTTTTATTTGCCGCGATGACTGTACATAATATTTTACCTGATATTTTGCAATTGAAAGGCTTAGATTAATTAAGTTAACTAGACAAATCAGTGGCCAACAGTGGTTTGCGCTATATCCAATAAAAAATGTCTAAAGAAGGCTAATAATATTGACCTCATATATTTTTTAAATTTTGTTTTTTTATTTCAGCCAAACTAATAAAATTAAATCTTCTCCAGAAAAACATTCTGAAACATTTCCTTGCTCTGTTAAATATCACATGGGAAATATAATATAATATAATATAATATAATATAATATAATATAATATATATATATATATATATATATATATATATATATATATATATATATATATATATATATATATATATATATATATATATATATATATATATATATATTTATTTATTATACCACAGGAGGGCTAATAGTTTTGTCCTTAACTCATTGGTCAGAGATCTGATCAAAATTGATATCAAAAAGCTCAAATGATCTTATGCAAAATCAACAGTCACACCAATCCACTTTAATTTCATATAATTTAAGGTGGTGTTTAAATTGAGTGATTTGAGCTTTTAAAAACAGCAGGCATCATTCAAGACTCTTGAACACAATTCTGCTTCCACAATCAGTGTAATGCTGGCAGCCGTTTTTGCATGCATAAAGCATATTTAGCGAAGCGATAAGGACAGGAGAGTAGAGTTGGGCTCAAGTTGATAAGCTAAATCACCAGGCTGCCACCATACTAATGGACTCAAGCAGACAAGCAGAGTAATCCAGCTGATAGCTCAAAATTGCACAGCAGCTACCAGCTCTGGCTAACTAGAAATTAGACAGACCACAGGTTCCAGGAGCAGGCATTAGCAAACAGCAGCTCACGGCTAGATTATTGCTTTCTCTGGGGGAAAAGTGAGTGGTGCTGGGCGATGCAAAACTGTTGGTTGCTAAGATGTTGTGAAGGGATTTTTTGTTATTGCCTTATGGTTACTTATTGGCTCATTGTCTCTGCCCTTAAAAAAATACTAGTTCCATATTTGTTTAGGTATTATTCACATTTTAGCCCAAGCAGTACATGATGAATTTTGCTTTCAGAGTACATCATGGCACACTCTATATAACAGGTGAACAACAGGAGAGAAAATAGCCTATTGCATCTAAATTATGATGTTTTTTGAAGTGAAAATCTTGCTAACATTATAAGTGGACCCCAGAGAACATTGCAAAATAGAAAACGCAGTTCGCGACCCTTTTAAAAGGGGTTTGTTAATATTCCTAGTGGTAGGAATATCAAAAACAGCTCTGCTCAAAGTAAGAGCAATAGCAATAATATTTGCTTTATCAAACACCACTGGTGCCTTGGGAGCCTGTGCGAAAGGATGAGATGTAAGAGATGCATTTTTGTTTCCAAACTACATTACTTATGCATTTAGTAATGAATAAATAACTTTTTTTTCCTGAAACTTGTTTAGCACAAAACAGTAGATTTCCTGCCTGGGGATATGGAGAAACATTCCAGCGCACAGAGAGATACGCAAAGATATCATTCATTATCATTCTAATAATAAAATGCAGTGCAGATAATCAGCAAGGTACATGCTCAGCTTTATCATACACACATACATTGGCTGATCATTTCTCTAGAGCATAACATCTCACAGATGATGTTATTATTGGAAATATAATTACTTGAATCATTTCTTTGCAGATGGCAAGTCTCTGTATGGTGGGGGCGTTTGAGAATGTTTTGGATGAAGCTTTTTTCTCTGTCCTCTGACTTCTACAAAAAGTATAAACACAGACTGTGTTGCCATCAAAACATTGCTCTGTTTGTTTAATCGTTCAGCCACCTCTAACTCAACCAATAGGGTGAGTTTGAGGGTGTGGCTTTGGGTTTGACCAACCAACTGTAGATTAGAGATGTGTTTGAGGAAACTTTAAAAAGAAAACACACACACGTTCATTAGCTTATATTCAATGAGCCACTGCTCCAGAAATTCAACTAGTGCTTAATTTGAGCTGGATCTTGCCAGATCCTGTTCCATAAAATGTCAGATATTTGTGTTTTGCGTTGCGGCATTTATTTTATTTGGTCCAGCATTAATGTGTGTGGGATGAAAACCTGCATATTTGTGTGTGAGAAAGAATTTAGTGATAGTGAAACTTTAACGGAAAAAGGTCCGTTACTCGAATCTTTTCAAAATAGATCTCAATGAGGACCTCTGCTGGTTAAAGTGTGGGAAAGCACTGTGTTGCAAAAATATCAAATGTTCACAACTGGCCTCATTTATGTAGCAATACAACAGTAGCAATATAAGCAATTTACACACTGTAATTTTTTTTTTACAAATAAGGTAAGTTACATTACACCACCAATGACTGTAAGAACATTAAAGGTATTTATAAGTTTTTAACATTTCTCTATTCTGACCGATCCTTCACCCACACCCTCGTTCTAAGTGGGGATTGAACCAGCGATTCCTGCATGGTAGGCTTAAGCTCTAAGGAGGAGGCTATGAGAGCGAGACTTGCTTTGCATTGCTTTCGTCAGCTGACCTCCGTTACACACTATACTACAAAATGTAATGGCATTCTTTAAAAATAGTTGTAAATAATACATTTTACTATGGTTCTAAAGCTTTTTACTATGAATTACTATTGCATTTTAGTTGAATTACTGGCGCGTGGGATTGTTGCTGTGCTTTAAAACAGTAGAAATGTATGTAATCGCCGCCTTATCCCACTATACACTTTACTAACCCACAGGGGTGTTTAAACCTTTGAATCAAAATTTGAAGCAGTACCTTGGGTACAGAAAATTAAGCTTCGGATGTCACTGAATACGTGATTACAGCTAAACGAATCAAGCTCTGGTACACTGCTTCATTTACAGATGTATCATTTTTTGATACATGCTTCGAAGCCTCGGTGCACAACGTCACATCACTAACAGAATGTTAATGAGTGGAAACGAAGGCTGGGTGAATTTTGTTTGTGTGCACACACAATGCTGGTCGCCATGCACAAGTTTAAACAGAAGGCATATTTAACTATTGGCCCTCAACAAAATTTTCAGCCAATCTGCTTTCTTACATTTATAATCACTCTCATTGGTTGGTGATTGTTTTGTACTCAGTGAGCAGCGAAAATAAATAATGGCACAGTGGCCTGCTTAAATATTATTTGTATTTTAAAAATAGCAAAGAGGCAGTCAAGCATATTTTCACTTTTTAAAACCACAAGTAAAGCTGCTAATAAGCCTGATCAAAGAGATCTCGAGAAGATGGAACTTTGCCCCTGGATCAGGACAGCAGGAGACAGAAGCAAGCAATCTTAAGTCATGACTCAAGAGCTAATTGTGGGCTCTTCTTGAAGATTAGACAGAGGGATACATTTAAATATTTTTCACTTGCAAGTGAACTAAATAAAAACTGCATAATGATGTTTTATAAAAGTTTTGTTTTGTAGATATATGTTTGTTTTATCCACGATTGACCCATATATGGCACAAAATAATTAAAGACCATTCAGAAACTTGATGCTTTTTTTGTGCTATCACTGTTTAATGACATTAAATTTCACGTTCCGGGAAAACAAAAAATGTATGGTGGATGTTGGTCACGGTAACTTTAATTTCCTGGTTTTGTTCAGAGAAATATTCATATACATATTAAGCGCTGAGTTCAACTTTATAATCAAAACTGTTTCTCATTTAAAAAGTACAACTAATGAAACTAGAAGTTCATGAGATTTCTGCTTTTTAAAATTTCTTTTGCTGGGGGGATATAGAGATTTATTAAAGTGTTCAAACCTGTTCAAACAGTCTAGATACTATTGGCCTGCTCTAATATCTTATTTAAATGTCATGGCCCAATTTTAATTAAGGTGAGATTTGAATAATAATATTGACTGTACCTCTATCTCAAGTAGCCCGCTGACATGGCAGCCTTCAGCCTGGAATATCAAGCGATCGGCTGCATATTGAACAGGTAATATTGCATTTCCAATTGGCATAATACAAGACAGGTGATCTGATGAAGGACAGTGACCATTATATTGCTCCAGGTTCTGTGCTAATCACTGATGGAAGGACGGCATCATGTTTTGCCATTTAAAAAGACAGTAATGAATTCAGACATGGTGCTTTATATTTGTGACACCCAATTAGCTTTTTATTCCTACAGAGAAGGTGTCAGTTTTATAGTATCAACATCATTAAGAGCTTTGGTTCTCCTTGTTGTTATAGTGTCCTGACATTTCAATGAGCCACCGACTGAACCCCTACACTGCGCCATAACGGCTAATTAAATCTTCTTAAGACGCCCCGTGGGTGGATACAAAAGCCCAGATAGAAGGAAGAAAGTGAGAGAAAAGAAACTTCTGGAAATGAGAGGTTGAGGAAGAGTCTTCCAGCCTGGAGGGGTTTAGTGTCAAGAAGGCAAAAGCGCAAGCAGGGGGGCTGGAGAGACTCTTCCGCTTGATGCCCACAGTCATATCCGTTCTTAGCCTTTGAGCGTATCCGCACAGCTGTCTTTGATGAAAGAGATGGCAGATGTGGACGCAGCGTAGCCTCTGAACCTCAGGGTGTATCGAGAGCCGTCCCATCATGCTTTGCTGTTATGCTAAGTAGGAGAAACTCATTCTCTTAAGAGCTCAGACAAAAGTGGGTTGCAACTGTTGAACGCATTTTGAGCAGAATTTGTGATGCAGAGATCATTATTTGAACATTTTAAAACAATATCTCACTCCAAAGGAAGCACTGTCCTTCACTTCAAATCATATTGTATGCTGCATGTGTGATTTTCTCTTTTCTGTCATTTGAAGTATACATAAAGCCAATGGGAACCAAAACTTGAAGTTCTCTTATTGACATTAAAGAAAATGTGAACTTAATCCATGCATTCATACCTGAAGATGGTTAAATGTTTCCTGTTTGAAGCAAAAACTTAAAATATTAATAAAATTAATAATTTACAGAATGATTTACAAAAAACATACACTAAAATGTAATTCTGTGTTGAAGCAGAATTAATAAAATCTTTTCAGGTATGTTAAAGGGGTGGTCCACAGTGTTTATAAGATGCAAAGCAATCTGTGCTCAAGCTTCACTTGTAGAAAATCACGTTATTTTTTCATAAATCTTACTTTGATTATATACATATACTCAACATGAAAATGCATGTCATATTTCCTAGTTCTTCTGAAAGGCCCACCCTCAAGAGGTTCTGATTGGTCAACTAACAAACAGTAATGTGCTGTGATTCTCAGATTGGCTCCACCTCACGCCACTACAAGCACATGCTTTTGTGCTGTGTAAATACTGTCACTCAGAGCAGATGTTCGCAGCATTAGCTGCCTGAGTTAGACAGAAAAATTAAGAGCACACAGCTAAACCTCACGCCTGCTCTCTAAAATAAAATCTTTCACATATTTTCAGAATAAGCATGTGCAAGGAATATAAAATGTTCTCATAACTTTTGAGAGTTAGTTATTTGAGATGTGGAATGCAGGGAAAGCAGTGCTGTAGAACAGTGACTACGATTAGTGAACAGACGGTGCAGAGCTGGTGAAGATTGTGGGTGTTTACAGGTGTTTGACTGATAAATTTGAACTTGTAGCTAAATTGTTAGCAGTGCTAAACAGCATTTTCCGCTGTTTACATCCGTTTTTACATCCTTGCTACAACATACCGTTAATGCTAGATACTGTGCATGTAGTTGATCAATTTTAACACCTAAAAGGTTGTGGCTCACAATCCACAACTTCATTAATTGGAGTTTTAACCGAATCCAGCACTGAACTGGGAGAGATTCTGGTATATGCTGGTTGTGAATGCATGTAACTGGAAACCATTGTGATCTTACTAACCTTGATGTAATTTTTTATGTATCCAAACTTTGTTCACTGTAGGCTTTGCTATGGTAACTCTGTAAAAGCCAATGTCTCCCTTTGCATTGAACTTTGAGCGTATTAAATTCAGAGATGTTGTTTACATTCAAACATCTACATTACACATCAACTGAAATTCAAAATATAATATCATAGTGGACCACCCCTTTAACAACCAGAATAATGTGAAGACACATTTCATGCCACAATAAATCTATCTTGATAATATTCTTTTAACCACTACTCGTTTATCAGGACAGTGGAACAGATTTACATATATTATTTGAAATATTTATGTAAACAGTTCTTTTTAAATATATATTATTGATTTTCTAAATTTATTTTGATGCAGACACCAAATGGGATGCTTTAATTTTTAACCAGGTTTGAAGCTTCTTGAAGTAGTACAATCATTTCTTATGGATAATATAAATACTATGGTAGCACGGTGGCACAATGGGTAGCACCAACGCAATCTAACAGCAATTCGTAACTTTTTGATTTACGGGCTAATTTGTATGAAATCGTACAATTTAGTACAATTTGCTCATCACCCAATGACGGTTGAGGTTAGGGGTGGGGTTGTGTGCCACGCCTCCTTTTTAAAATCATACATTTTCTTATGACTGAACTCGTACGAATTCGAACGAATTAGCCACTAAACTGACAAAACGTAAAATAATTACGTTTCCTCTTGAGATCAGGCTGGTAGCACTGTTGCCTCACAGCAAGGAAGTCGCTGGTTTGAGCCTCGGCTGGGTCAGTTGGCATTTCTGTGTGGAGTTTGCATGTTCGCATGTAGGTGAATTTGATTAAGCTAAATTGTCTGTAGTGTATGTGTGTGTATGTTCTGGTCCTCCAAGTTGGGGGCTGAGCATTAGGCCACCAATAGCCCCTTTCACACAGTGATACCGGTAAATATCCGGAAAATTTACGGAACGACTTTACCGGTATATACAAAAAAGCGCTGTTCACACAGGCGAGGACGTTACGAAATTTTTCCGGAAAAGAGCATTCACACATCCATTCCAAAATACCGGTAAATTCTGACATCATTCACCACAAATGAGCTTTAAACGGCTGCGCTTGTATTTGTAAACATTTGACTAAATTACAAACTCTTTTGATGATCAATATTGTAAACAACTTTCACAGGATCATATTCGCATGTCGAGATGTTCATAATATGTGCGTGCGCTCACAGGCTGTTTCATGGGCACACGCAAAGCTTGAAAGTAAACAAACAACGGTTTATCATAAGCATCTTATCGATGATTATTTGCACAGTTGGCATTAAGAAGAACATATAAACGTTATCTGACTAACTTCTAGCAGCTAAATGTGTCTGGAAAAATATTCAAAGGCTTTTATCCTCACAAACCGCGCGGACGTAAATGCGTCTGACTGTTGTAATTGGCTAAAGCAGACGTCTCACGTCAGCACGTTCTAGACGTGCACGCGCTTATTACGGGAATCTTCCTTCTGCATTCACACCGCGCAGCATTCCGGCAAATTGCCGGTAATGTTACAACTTCTCTTTCCGGAAAATAGCCAGAACGAATTTACCGGTATTTTCAAAAAGGACCTGTTCACACATACACCCTTTCCGGAAAATTGCCGGCAATTTTCCGGAAAGGTCTGTATGTGTGAAAGGGGCTAATGACTCACCTCGTAAAAATGTTATGTTATGAAACACCAACATCGTGCGGTTAAATATCAACTTCAATATAAAAATGGCCCTGTGAGTAAGTAATATATAAAGACTAAATAAAATATGACAACACAAATGTAACAGTTTTGGGTCCCACTGACTTCCATATTAAGCCCCAAATAACATTCAAAACATGAATTTAGAAACAAATGCCATAAAAAAATGTTTGATTTATCCCTTTGATCTTTCAAATCAGCAATCATTTAAGGCACTGCAGCTTTCAGTGGCTTGAAAATAAAATGACAGTTATTAGCAGGGAGGAAACGTAGGTTTGATTAGCGATGCAGATGCTTTCCAAGACAGCAGCAAGGGCTGTGTTTGCTTAACAGACATGTTAATGTAATCCATCTGTCACTCACCATAAATAACCAGTTTGAATTCAGCATGACTGGTGCCGAGGTGATTGGTGGCTTCACAGCGGTAGGTGCCGTTGTCTGTTTTGTTCAGTGACGTGAATGTGAGATCTCTTCCATCAACAATCATCCTGTCCATGTCTGGCAGCTCTCCTCCATCTTTAGTCCACAGCACAGGGTCTGGCCTGGGGAAACACTCATTTTTAGCTTCTAACAGCATAATTCAGCTTCTTTTCCATGATGCTTAATGAAGCACTCACATAAATTTTTCATATCATATCTTTTTTTTTATTAGTTTTATTCTATTGTTTAGGGGTCTCCAGAGCCATAGATGCTAACATCTAACCCTTTTTTTCATTAATATGAGAAACAGGTTTATCATATGTTTGCAGAAATTATTCTAGAAATCCATAGTAAGCTTTTGCAGCGTAAGTTAAAACAAACTTTCTTTTTGACAGAGAAAAGTTCTGAAGGTTTTGACTTCTGAAAGTTTCCATACTACAATGAGGACTTTTCTCAAAAGATTTCTTTCCTTGATCTCAAAAGATCAAGGAAAATTGGATTCCTTATATGATTTGACCCCTTTAATGCTAAAATCAATGGAAAGACAACACCACAGAGTTATAGAAAAGGCTTTGAGAATGCAAAATTCACTCAGAGTTTTCAAGTTTTTAACTTTAGCTTTATATTCAAAACAGTGTTCCACAATCTGGTTCATCAAAGTGGATGAAAGATTTTTCAAACCATTTTCTTTAGGGATACGTTTTTAGCGTCAGTTGTACCAACAGCTAAGAGCCTCTTAAGGTATAGTTGAAGCTGTTCAAAGCAGTTTCATTTCAACAGCTTCACATTTATGAGTCATAACATTAATGTGAGGATGTAGTTTTAAGCTGCTAGCCTATGGCCTACCCACAGGGCGATTTCTTATTGGTGTAGAAGATAGATACTCTACTGTATATAACACATCTTCCCAAAGCCTTTTGAAAGCATTATACTTCAGAGAGATCCTGATAAATGGTGGATGCTTACGAGGGGTTTCCTTTAGGTACACATTGCAGTTTGAGGTACTGCCCCTCCTGTGGGACGTTTGTGGATTGTCTGATCTCTACATAGGGAGCATCTGTGACAAAGAAAGAGAGACAAACAAAGAAATATTGTTTCAGACAGCAGCATCCAAGCAAAGGAATGACACTTTACAGAGATCAAAAGGTAAGGTATGTGATGTGTCGCTCAAGTTCAAACGCACCACTGCATCTCAGTAGATTGATCCAACGTCAAAGCTTCAAAGAGAAATTCTAACTGGTAAATGATTTTTGTCTGTAATCAATTTGTGTAACCTCTGCTCTATCAGCATATATCAAGGTAAAATCCTAAATGATGGTTTAAGTAACCCAATAGTCAATGAAACAAAAATGAAGGATTGTATGGCTTTATATCTGTGATGTCCAAGCTCAGTTATGGAGATTTTAGCTTCAGTTGACTTAACACAGTCTAGAAGTTTCAAGTAAGCTTAGTAAAGGGCTGTTCACACCAAGCATGATAACTATAAATATAACGATAACTCTATGTGTAGCCACACCAGCACGTTTATAGCAGATCTGACCAGTGAATCCAGCTCGTGTAATTTATATATTAAAATGAAATTTAGCAAATATAGTCAGTTTAGTGAAATACATTTTTTTTCCACCATTTTCAAAGGAGGCAACACAAAGATGGAGAAACTATACACTACATACCTGACATACTTTTATTTTTATATTTTGTAGAATGACCATGTCAATTTCTTTGAAAATTTGTATCATTTTGCCAGTGATATGACCAATTGTTTTTAAGATAGTCATTATCTTTAAATAACCTCTGAAAAGAGGGCTCAACATAAAGCAGAGAGCTTCTCCACAATGTCACATGTACCTTTAAAATTGCACAAGCCCATTTATTCATTCATTTTCTTTTTGGCTTAGTCCATTTATTATTCTGGGGTCATCACAGCGGAATGAACCGCTAGCTTGTCCATAATATTTTTTATGCAGCGGATGACCTTACAGCTGCAACCCATTAGTGGGAAACATCCATACACACTTATTCACACACATACACAACAGTCAATTTAGCTTACCTAATTTACCTATACCACATGTCTTTGGACTTGTGGGAGAAACAGGAGCACCTGGAGGAAACCCACATGAACACGGGAAGAACATGCAAACTCCATAAAGAAATGCCAACTGACCCTCGAACCAGCAACCTTCTTGCTGTGAGGCGATCGTGCTATCCACTGTGCCACCTATTTTGATGCCCTCTGCCCTATTTTTGGTTTATTAATTTTTTTTTACATTACACACTTGTAACCATCAGATGTCATCAGTGTGCTGCACTCATAGCACATCTGACCAGTGAATCCAGCTCCTGTGATCTATATCCTCCTGAGACCCCGCCCATTGACTTGTGTTCTCTGTAGTGGACATCTGTAGTGGAATTTTCTTTTTTGAGCTACTCTGTCAAGTCCTCTTGTACTGTTCAGAGGATATCATGGGCTTTCTAGTGATATGTCATTTGATTGGCTGGCATGCTAGGAACCACTTCTAACACTGCATCCAAAATGGCAGGCATACAAAAAAACATTTTATGGGAAGGAGAGAGGTATGGAAAATTTTGTTTTTAAAATCTTTTTTACTATTATTATTACATATATATTTGTTTAATAAAGTGTCAGGAACAATACATTTAGCTTTCAAAGCTGTTAACTTGTTTGTGTTTCAAAATATTATCCTTTTTTAAATGTCCACAATAGTGGACACCAGGACCATCTTAATGTCATTAATGACTGCATGTTGTAGGGGGCAGAACTAAAGCAGAGAGGATTCTTCAAGATAATAAAGGGAGACTGATTTAAAGTCTGACAATCAGACAATTACAGAATTAGAGACAATTAGACAATCAGTTTTAAATTGCTTTTATGTTAAATTTGTTTTGGATTGACATCACTTCTTTTTTATATATTTTTTGTTCAGCTTTCTTTCAAACTAAACTGTTTCAGGAATTTCAACACAAAAGGAAAAAATGGCTTTTGTTTTGTTTTGTTACATTAATATTGGAATTATTTCCTTTTAGAGCCATATCCTGTACAGTTTTTTTGTCTGAGTTTAACAGGGGCCAATCACTAATCCACACAGACACCCCCCCCCCCACCCCAACCCCCACCTCCAGCTACGCCACTGGTCCTGTGGTCCACTATAGTGAACATGCTGTAAAATTAAAAATAAAAACAATAGGTAAAAACTGTAAATTATAGAATTTTTTAATCCAAAGGAAGTAGGAAAAAAATGTCTTTGGGTCTCAGGAAGATATGCTTAAATGAAATTTTGCAATCGTAGTCAGTTAAGTGGAATAATAAATAAATTTTACCAGTATTCAAAAGAGGCAACACAAAGATGCAGAAACTCTATTAGAGACCTGAAGTACTTTTATTTTTATACTTTAAATTTTCTAGGATGTAAATTTTATTGTTAATTTCTATCATTTCGCCCATAGTATAAGCAATTGTTTTCAAGATAGTCATTATCTTTGAATAATCTATATCTTATAGTTGTGGTCTTAACTTTGCTGCTGTTTTACATTAAGCAAAGTCTTTACCTTTCTTTATACAGTTATCATGCCTTGATTAGCTGACTTGGGATTTGACCCAACCAGAAGCAGGTCTGGACATTCCTGTTCTGTCGTTCAACTGAGATGCCTTTATAATATACTTGTGGCAATTTCACATAGTTTATGGCTTGCAGATAGAAATATGGATTAGTGGAATGAGATGTTGGCTGCACTTACAGTGGACCTCCAAGACCTGCGTGGTCTCTTCGTGGGTTGCAGTCAGGGCCACGTGGTCCACTCTACAAGTGTAGGCCACACCATCATCATCCCGGTTCACGTGGAGCCGCAGAGAACTCTTCACTGTAAACGTCTTGCCACTGGCATTCACCTCTTTGGCACCTAAGAGAATCGGAGAAGAACAGCACAACAAAGATGAAACGTGTTTGTCGTGTGTTTCAGAGCTTCACGTACATTACAGTCAAAGTTACAGTGAGAACTTGAAGTATTGTGGAACGCAGGGGTTCAGAAAGATGCACCACTCCTTTTTAAAGACTTTGTTTTCAATAGAAAACTTTAGCTGTGTGAAGCCAGAGTTGAGTTGCATTCATTATTTCCACCCACTGACGCACATCGCTGTGTTTGGAATGCTCTTGAATCCTGCCTCTATCTTTTCGCACATCCAAAACTGGTGAAAGTAAAACTTGAACTCTTATCTGACTCTCTCAAAGTTAAAAATATTGATCCAATGCTTGTTTTTCGGCATTTAACAAAGCTGGATCCTCCCATGAAATGAAACGGGAGTTCCTTTTTGTAATTGTGAAAGGTTCATTCAATAATCCTCTTGGAATGTTAATTAAATTAGCCTACATTTGCTTCTATAGAATTAGTGTTGATGTATAGTGTTGCACATGAGACATCTATCAGAGTAAAACAGCTTCCTCCTTTACTCCTGCCTGAAAACTCCATTAGTCGAACAACAGATTGTGTTTTGTGTTCTTTGTTTCGATGTGCTAATGGCTTCTGCATTCATAGGCTTATGCTGCACACGCTGCTGTCTGGTAGCACTTATAATATAAAGCCAGGGCAATTAATTTGTTGCATCTCAAAGCTTAACGAATACTACAAAATTTTTCATCAAAAGGATATTATTGCATCTTTAAGAGTGTAAATTACCATTTTACAACTGTCTACCAGTTGTTCAAACAAATATACATGACATAATATGCTAATTTAATGAAACACCACAGTGAATGCGGAATCAAATGCTCTCTTTATTTTCACAGAATCACCAGACAGAGACAATGTTCTGATCTGACAAAAGCCATCACAGACTCCATTTTACTTAAGATGTGTTTTCAGTGAGTTTCCAGCCGAGATGCTTTAAAATTTCTCACTGTATTTTTAATTTAAACTCACTATATTTTCTCACTGTATTTTCATTTCATTTTCAATTTCATTTTTTTTTAGGTAAATCTAAGTGTAACATGAGTAAGCGTTATATAAATAATGGATCAGTGTAAAACAAGTAACTGAAAAGGATGTGGATGTCAACTATAATGTTTGTCATAATCCATTACTTTTGGTACTATGCAGGAAAGCCTGAATAGCTTGATTTGTTCATTTGCACCATAAATTAGCATCGTCCATTTAGGTTTAGTTTGATGTAAACCCTGCAGCCACAGGACGTCAACATGACATCACATTGACGTTTAACCCTGACGTACCTCAACATTGTGGGGATGTTGGATTTTATTTAAAAATTAAAATTGTGTTGACGTCAGAACCCAACGACAGGTCGACGTCAATGTCAAACGTCAAACCTAAAACCCACCAGATATCAATGTCCAATCATGTTAAACCGTGACGTTGTGTGGACGTTACCACTATAACATCTATCAGATGTTGGATTTTAATCACTTTTAAGGTTCAACATAACCTAAAATCAACCAAATATCAATGTAATTTCATGTCAAAATAACGTTGTCCTTAGACGATAGGCATTAAATTTTGGTCACTTGACATCATGAACTACATTTAACCTAACATTAACGTCTTATGATGTGTGCCTGCTAGGGAAATGTGTCTGTTGCCATTGGTCGACGATCTTCCTCATCTACGTCAGCAAACATAATTTTTTATTGCATCATCCTTTGTTGATTTGCGTTCATATATTCAAAGACAGAATCACAAAAAAACTTTGCTCCTTCCAAATCCGTTAGATTCAGGTCCAACCGTAAGCTATGAATCCAGACACCTTTGCCTATACAAATCATTTCATTCTTTCTCTCTTTCCATTTGCTCCCCCTCACTTTCTCTGCTCCCAGCATTACTTCTGCTATCACTGCCAAGCTGTCAATCAGCTTCCTCTGGGGGTGTCGCCACCCGCCCAGGAGCATCTGAGCATGCAGAAGATATCATTTAAACCTGCACACACACACACACACACACACACACACATGCAAAGACGAAGGTACAGTTCTATGGGTATTCTTACTCTTGGGATGCTTATGAGATGCAGGCATGAGGTTGGGGGTAAATTTTTTATTCCGGATATATGACAAACAAACAAACAGACTGTTAGTCTGTTCATAAAAGCGTTCAGATGAATAACACTTTGTATGGCTGTGAATGGAGCGAGGAAACTTTATTTGAGAGCAGGCAAACACTCCCAGCAATTAGATGCGGAAGTGGGAAGTTTGTTCCACCCCACGGTTAGAGCCTGTGAAGATTCCCAGCATGCTTTAAAAGTTTCTTTAGATCAACTTCAGTGCATGTTACAATTGGAACAAGTGGTGGTCTTCTGAAATGAAAAGGCAAAATCCCCTTGCTGTGTTTGGGATTTTCAGCCTAATTTAAATTCATCTCCATTATTTTTAATGATGTGGTTTCCTCATTACAGGCTTATGGAGGTATTATTTACATTACAATCAAGAAAACAATTTTAACAGACTATTTTAATGTACTTGGGGATAAGGTTCCAAGCCATCAATTTCAGATTACAAAATGTTATTATATATACAAATAAAACATATTAAATGTGAGTCATACAGTAAATGTTTACATACAGTATATGTTTCCAAAAAGTTTGTGAACATGTCAAATTAAAAGTTAAATTTACTTCAGCTTCGTCCGTGCTTTATCAGGGTTCACCACAGAGGAATGATTTGCTAATTATTCTTGCATATATTTTATCGGTAGATACTCTTTTTGCCACAATTCCGACTTAAGAGTATATTAACTTGTGAATCCCTAGTGGTGCGAAACACTAGAAAAAACAAAACAAAAAAAAAGTTGGGGCAGTATTGAAAACGTAAAAAAAATAAAAATAAATAAATAAATACATAAAAAGTAGTAATTTCTAAATTTACTTTGACTTGTATTTCATTGCAGAAAATACAACAATAAATGTGTTCCTTATGGTTTTTATAGTTTTTTTTTCTCTCAAAATAAACACATTCCAATTTAGGTTCTGGCAACACATTTCAAAAAAGTTGGCACGGGGTAATTCAGAACTAATAATCAGGTGAATTGGTTAAATAATGATGTGATTTGAAACAGGTGATGTCAAAAGGTGATTCTAATTATGATTTGGTACAAAAACATCCAAGAAAGGTCTAGTTCTTGAGGAGCAAAGATGAGCCATGGATCGCCAGTTTGCCAATAAATATGTGAGTAAATTGTTAAAATGTTTAAAAACAATATTCCTTAAAGAAAGATATGAACACATTTGGATATTTCCCCTTAAACAGAGCATACCAAAATGAAAAGATTCAAAAAATCTGGAGGAATATCAGTGCGTAAAGGACAAGGGCGCAAGCCTAAGTTGAACAACTGTGATATCCAATCCCTCAGGCAGCACTGCACCAAGAATCATCAGCGATATCACTACATGGGCTCAGGACTACTTTGGAAAACCATTGTCAAGTACAATATTACATAGTTACATCCACAAATGTCAGAAAAAAATTAGGAGAAATGGACGCCGTGTGCTCTGGACCAAAGAATAAAAGGATCATTCAGACTGTTACCAGCAACAAGTCCAAAAGCCAGGGTCTGTCATGGTCAAGTGCCCTTGTCAAAGGAATCCTGCACTTCTGTAATGGCACCATTAATGTTAAAACGAACATAGAGATTTTGGAGCACAATATGCTGCCATCTTTTCCAGAGATGCCGTGCATATTACAACAAGACAATGCAAAACCATATTCTGCACACATTACAATGTCCTGGCTGAGGAGGAAGAAGATACAGGTACATGACTGTCCAGCCTGCAGTCCCAACCTGTCTCCAATAGAGACTGTGTCGCACATGAAACACAATAAGCAACGAAGAACCTATACTGTTGCCCAACTTAAGACTTGTTTGCAGAAAGAATGGGACAAAATTACACCTGAAACACTTCATCACTAGATGTCTTTAGTCTCTCAATATCTTTTAAGTGTCATAAATAGGAATGCCAAAATTACAAAGTCATAAATGCTTTACTGTTCCAACAAAAACTGTTCCTGTTTTAAAATGTGTTGAAAGAACCAAAATTGGAATACATGTTTATTTAAAAACTAAAATTATAAAATTGATAAGGAACACATTAAATAAAGTTTGCTGTATTGTCTGAACATATGTCAAAGTAAATTTAGAAATCACTACTTTCTTTTTTAACTTTCTTTTTTGTATCTGCTTTAATTTAATTCCCTAAATATATTATCCCCATTCACCTACATCCTTTATTTATTCATCTGCTCATCCATTCATTCAGCTACCCTTCCATTTTGAAGAGGGGAAAAAACCCCAGCATAATAAGGGTTCGTCAGACCTGTCTACTTCTATTGTCCCTCTCAATAAGTTAGCGAGTGGGTGAGAGGAGAGATTTGCCAGCCGACAGAATTGAAATTAAGGTCAGCATGTTTTACATTAATATTTATGAAGGCAAACCAGTAATAGAAACATTATCACAGACACTCTTAACATTACACACACACGCTCACATTTAATGCCCGCAACAGCATTAGAACGGTATCTAATCTTCATTACACACACATCAGCACGTGTAATTACGCACATAGTTGGACGCAATTTAATGTGAAATATTGCTAATTTTTATCGTTAAGGTTGAGCGTTGTCCTCCTTCTGGAACCGTAGTGTTTTCCTGGAACTCTGTGATAGCTACGGCATATGGTGAGCCCAGAGAGCAGCCGAGAACAGGAAGGAATAAAACGTGGGGTGAGATTAGCATTTCATTTCAGCTGTGAGCAGTTGTGAATTCAAATGCTGTTTTCCACCTAAAAGGGAGGTATTTAGAACAACAGGAGGCACAAAGGTGTGGAGCTCATCTCCGCCGCCTCTACCCCATTTTGCAAGCCCATTAGTGAGTGCGCGCAAGAGGGATATAAAAAGAGAGA